TGTACGGAATTGTTTTGATAATTATTTGATACTTTTTCACGCTTTGGAGTGTAAAAAATAATATCTCAAACATTACAATATAATATGAAAAAATCTGCTTTTATTTCTGATATTTTTTCAGCGAAATTTGCGATAATACGCCGATTGCTGTTTTTCTTGTTTAACAAAAATGGCGAAAATGAGGTATTAAGATCTGAATGCAATTTACGCGATAAAACAGCAAAGCGATTCTAAACGACATACGTACAAGATAACGTAAATATCGAGAATTTCAAGCTTGCGTAATTAACATGAAATTCGCGGAATAAAATTTGGAAAATTCGGATAGAGAGACCGGCTCTCGTAAATCTCCCAAGAGACTGAACGAGGAGGTAGGATGAAAGATCCCATGTCTCAAATAACATCCCGAAGATAGGGAGGGGCATCGAATAATTTCACTATGGCAGCGGCGGAGGGGCGGGCGGGTCGGCTGCCTTGGGGAGAATGGAAACGAGTTGGGGAAGAGTTCGTCGTTGGACTTAGCTGAAAAGTAGAGTGCTTTCTGTAATTATAGCAAAGTGAGCTGCAAACCTAAAGTCGCAAACAAAGTTGCACATTCTGACAGAAATTCTCGGCCTTAATTAACGTTCTAATTACCGGTCGCGGGAGTTTTTAATTAATAATACCGCATACACAAAAGAGGACAGTTATTATCATTATTTGTATGGCCGTACAATTTCTTAAGCTGGGACAGCGTTCGATCGTTTTTTTTAATCGAGTAAAACTACAGTACGTTAGTAATATTATAACACTTTGTTGTTCTTTTAAGTTCTAATTATCGATGTGACGTAAAACAATTTAAAGTTGGAGATTTAAATTCTGTGGATACGTGTTACGCAATTACGTCATCCGTTCAATCGTCGAAATTCTCTCTGTAAAAAGTCTGGTATTTGCGGGATCTTTTAGTTCTGCACGGATTCACGCGTGTTCTGACAAATCTGCTTTTGACCGATCATGCAGGCAAACGCGAAGAGAGGAAGAGAAAGAGAGAGAGAGAAAGAGAGAGAGACAGCGGGGGAATTTAGGTCGCGCTGTATTGTGGTAAAACAGAATATCATCGTTCGACACAAGCTTAATTGGCGTAATTGAATGATTCATCGGGAAAAATCAACATTCAACACTTTGGGCTTGGTCCGAAACTAGCCCGGGCGCCGCTGTTTGCACACAAGAAAGCGGCCAATTTCTCGGGCCAGTTTCCACTCGCCACGCCGCAGGGAACAAATTACGACGCGAGCGCGCGATTTCGCACAGAGAATCCGCACTACCAATTGACAGATCAAACAAATCTTGTCGACACTCGTCAACAGACGTAGTATCAACTGTCCCAATTGAATGTAGAACGCTCGGTATGAACGGTATACGCGCTTCGCGAATAATTTTGAACGCGCCGGGAAGTAGTAACTTTAGAACTTGTATTGTCTTTCGCGGAGTTCGACGGCAACGGCGGATTTCTGCATTTCACGGTATATAAAAGCAAATAACTAAATTTCAGATCGCTAATACTACGTCAAAGGTAGAACTAATTTACCGCAGTAACTTCGTAGCAACTGAGGAAGCCCTATAAATATTCTCATTCGTGCATTAATATTCAGGGCAAACATATTGAGAGTAAAGAACATCCTTGTTCTCTGTAACGTGTCGCGAAAGCTTTGGTTAAAATTCCGTTTACACGTGTATGGCTTACCGCTGCGTTGTATTTTATAATTGCGCGTAAATTCCATAAATAATGTGAGACTAATTCTTTTTCTAAAATTTTATTTAAAAAAAATTGATACTACTGCAGAATAATTGTGAGATATTGTTTTTTTTGTACTAAATTGAAGCGAGACGAGAGAAATAAATCAGATTTGATCAGAAATAAAACCGATGAATAAACATCAGTTTATTTTGATATTCTTAAATATTCGTAAATTGAAACTAGCTTACTCGCCTTTCGAATTTTTCGACCGCAGTTCCAATTTAACGACTTAATCCGTAACGGACATTTAATGTAGCGAATGTGCAGCGAATGTAGGAGGAAATTGGAGTAATTCGAAAAGTGTCTCTGATTATGAGCTCTGTCGATGTAATTTATGTAAAGCGACTTCTAACTTCGCAGCAGCTTCTATTTATTTTACGAAAACGAGTTTGAGTATCAAAATTCAATTAACGCGCGTCCTTGATAAGCGGCTTGATTAAATGAAGCCTCGGTCACGTCGTGTAATTTATAAATGCGATGCACACTTTGCCGAAGTGAATAGAGACAACGTGAACTTTCCATCTACTTAAATATTATGGTTTCTTCTTTCGTGAAAGTGTTTCTTATCATTAACCAGTCGGTGAAAGGCGTCTGCTATTCATGCGTGCATCTGACAAGTTTGTGCAGTCCTTTCTCTCTCTCTCTCTCTCTTATTTATGTGTAGGTATAGTTTCTTATTTATATATCTTCATCTTTTGCCACTGCACTCATTATTTTTAACCTCATTTTATTCTATTGAATGTTGTGTTACTTGAGGGATGTCACATTAACGTGATCTATTTAATTTTAAAAATTAATGTACGCTTTATAGGATGACACATTTTCATCTTTTTACACGATGTTTGTCGATTATTTATTAGGTAAATAATAAATAGGAGTATCTATTAAGAGACTCTATAAAACGAACATTTTAATAAATTGTACTTCAATAAGTTGATTTTTTTTAATTGACACTACTAAGAAAGTGCATAATTAAAACTGCATAATTAACTCCGAAAGTGTCTTGTTTGGTTATTAAAAGCTGAGCTAGAAATTGAACTAGATTATTTTAGTTGGCACTTGATACAGTTTATTTTGATGTAGAAATTTGATATAGTTTAATTTGATATAGGAAGAGAAATCTTATTTTTAAAACTCGTTTAATTATCAAGATATTCGATATTGAATATTACAATATTAATTTTAGATATGTGTGACGTTTTTACATATAAATTGCAGGTCGTTTTATGAATGTTTAATGATAAATTAAATTGGCAAATTTAACATGTATTATTAAATTTCATGTATTATCAAACTTGCACCTTAATATATCTTTTCCTGATATAATAAAAAAAATATATCCAAGATGTAAGGGAAATGTAACGAAATTCTTCGTGCCAATATTTTTTCGGGGCCGATGTATGTTCGTAAATCGCGAGTGAGGGAGAGTGCGCCGTTACGTGCAAAAACGAACTCGACGACAAAGTTTTTCGGTGGTATCGTAAAAGACGTCGCGCGCGGACACTTTTACGATCTACCGGTGTGGTAAAAGCCGCAGTGTCGGCGATAAAAAAATTGTCACCGCGGTAGTTTGTAATGTGCATTCCGCTGGCTTGTGCTCACTTTGGAGAAATCTTACGATGATGAACAATACGCTGTGATAAAACGACTGTAAAGTCCGTATCAGACTACACATTGGAGATTAGAATTCAACCGACGGAAACAAAACGGAGATTAAAATTAAAATTGTCTAATCTGTCAAATTCTAATCTTCAATTCGCAATTCTCAATTTTTAAATCTTCAATGCGTAGTCTAATACATTTAGGGAATAACTTTTTTTGGAGTTACCGCGTCATTTATATTATTAATCTTTAGTGTACAGCTTAGTACACGATGATTTTCCGATTTTTTTACAAACGATGGTTTTTTCGTATCTGGATTAATTTTATCACTTTTACAAGTATACAAAGTATACAAAAATTATTAAGTGATTCTTACATATACTTTAACTTTAGAAAATATTTGTCAGTTTGTGTATTACAAAAATTGTATATAGATGTTATTACTAATTACAGCTGACACGAATGATCTAATCGTGTGTACTAATCATGGAAATTTAACGGTAATTAATCTCGCAAACCCGCATAGAGTATTCGAATAAATTGCGCACACAGGCATTGAAATGCCCATCGAGTAATGATGGCGATCTATCGTATTTGAAGCGAGAAATGGAAATATCATGTAACGGGATGATATCATTCGACTAATTGATCAAGATGTATCTCGTGGCTGTTGGAGGGGACTCGGCGATGTTGGTACTTAAGCGGAATTTATGAACTCTCCTCGTAAGTTCGGTGTGTCCTAATGAAATTACCTGAGAGAGCCAACGCGATTAATGGTAAAAAATTTACTCTATTGCGGACGAACATTAATACTTCTTCTAAAAATAGTTTCTTTTTCTAAATTGCGGATAGAGCGTGTTAATTACGTTTAATAACACAACGAGAATTAATGAAAGCTTGAGTATTTTTTATAACTTGAGTGCAGTTTGAATATTTTTAATATAAGTGATACCGATTAATTTTATATTTTACTTTTTTTACATCAATACTCCGACACTAATTGCACTGTCCTTGATGTAAGCTAGAACATCTGATTGTACTGCAAGCCCAATTCATGCTGTTTTAGTAGTGGTAAAAGGCGAGGAGCGATGTTGAAAACCACAATCGCCGCGGATAAGTAAATGCAAGGAAGGACTCGAATACACTTCTAAATGGAATCCACGCAATCTTCTTGCTCTTTTCCTCTTTGTTTCCGAGGCTTATTTACCGGAACGCCGTTGAGGCTGCAGAAATGGAGAACTCACTCTCTAACTTTGCAGCTTTTCCGCCCCACCCGCGATACTCCAGTGCTTATGTCCGTTTCCAGTCGCTTATTATAGAGCTTAATGATTGAATATTGTTGGATTGCATAAAAAATGTTAAGTTTGTTTTTCGAGATTGAACGTTGCATTTTTTTTCTATGAACAATGAGAATCATGTTGTGATTGATAATTAGTTATTCTTATAATTTTAACAATACTTAATGTATAGTAATTTCATATAATTAATTAATTTGAACGTACGACAACAACGATAAAAATATCTTTAAGATTCAACATTTTATTATGTTTTAATATATTTATATATTATGAAAATAATTATAGATTTATATAAAAAAACACAAAAGTTCCCGAAAATTAGAGTAGATCGTCATTCATTACTTTAAAATAGTACTTTATTACTAAATATTAATTAAAAAAATTAAAATCAAAAAATTAAAATTAAAAAAATCAGAAAGATATCAAATATTATTTATTTTTAATTTTGGTGTAGACAAAAAAGTCAGCGAAGAAATGGGAAGCATAAGCGTGGTGCCAAAATCAGGGGAACATAGTTTGGTACAGGCGGATACATGGCAAAATAAACTTCGCTATAACGGTTATAGCCATTGCTGTTCGTCGACGTGTTAAATATGAGCAAAAGTCACGGCATCGTTATCATGTATATGCAAATTTGCTCAGTAAAATAGACGAGCAAGACGTAACGGCCAACATCCGGCCTCTTTTCTCTCTCTCTCTCTCTCTCTCTCTCTCTTCCCTCTCGTATATTGCCGCATCTGAATACACATCCGCAGTCTCTCTACTCGCTCGGCACGGCACTCGTGCGATTTAGCTCCATTTGTTTCCATTTGGAGATCCGTGTAGCTTCTATTTTCCCGATACACCGGATGCATTTCGCCCGGCATTGATTTTCTACGTTGGCCCGTTGATTATTGATCTTCCTTCTTCTCACGCTCATCGCTCGCCTCGTTTCTCGTGCCTCTCGTTACAGCATCCGCTCCCTCGTTCTCTTCCGTGCTGAAATTCCGTACAATCAAATTAGATCTCGAAATACAGTATAGTTGGCGAGAATCGGTGCCCGGATGTTCGGCTCCGACCGCGGACGGCGGTAAATCAGTCAACGCGGTCAGAAAAATTCGGAGTAACGGCTCACGGAACTTACATTTTTGTCCGCCGCTGTACGAGCGAAGCTCATGCGGCGATCGAGAAAGCCCCGAGACGTCTGAGCACGCTCGAGTGACACTAAAGTCGGATCGTAACGTACGGTCGAGTTTAAATGCCCAGCAAAAGGTTGGGGTAGACAATAAAATAAATCTAAGTAAATTATAGAGGGTGGTTTACTAACTTCGGAAGAGCCGTAACGGTAAAACATGTGATCAGGGAACTGACTAGGGGAAGTTTGGTTTATTAAGCGCACACTTAGGTCTCATACGCTTGATAAAAAGTTTATATCTGAGCGAACAATGAGAAAATATATTTAGACAATAAATACATTTATAATATATAAATGCATACGATAAATATACGTATCGTTTTCTGGACTACGTCTTTGGAAATTTAAACTTTTAGAGACAGAACAATATCGTTGATTTCGCTTCTTCTATCAAAACTCTTGAACTATTATAGTATATAAACTATTATAGTTAAAAAGATATATCTCATGAAGGCGAATTTTCTGTGTCTATCGCTATTTTTAATATTAGCATCACGATTTATTCGTCGCAGTAGGGAAAATTAGATAAACTATTATAAATAAGATCGACACAGCGGGTCTATTATGGTTCTCGGTAATTGATGAAAATTGAACAAAAGTGAGCTAAAATATTTATAATTTCATTGATCACCGCCTAATGAATTTGCTTTTGTAATTTTCATCAATTTTCGAGTAATAAGCTTCCCGATGAGAATAATTTGGGGTCGAAATTTATACATTCTTATGTCGAATGTATCTTTTCTGTTTATCCGTCACGTTGGATGAATTTTTCGATAGTTTACGTTTCTGCGAGTATGTTGAACGCGTTATCTTGGTTGCATATTTTCGTGTTATTTTTAGACACGAATAAGTGTGGCAGAGTAATATTATCGGTACGACCTTGTAGCCCGGTGCGACACGTGCGGCGAGCAGTCTCTTGGTGGTCGGCCATGCATGCGATTAGGGTATAAACATGATGCCCGGATATTGACATTCTAGACGTGCATGGTGCAAAAGCATCTTTTTTAGGAGTGAAGAATATAACGGGGAAGGCGACGCGTTTTATCTCTATCATCACAGTCGTGTAACTTCTTTCGGAGTGCAAATTAATTGCTCTTCATAAAGAGCCTTTTTCTTTAACTGCTTGGAGCTTAATGTACTCGTAACAAATTTTTCCTTGATCCAATTTACCATTTTCGTCTTTCCCTTTTCTCCTCGTTGCTGTACGTTAAAAAAATCTTTTATGTAATGCAGTTAAGAACTTAGAAGCGCATGTTAAATATAGTCGCGTAAAAGAAACGAGTTTTCGCCCGCGGTCGCGTAGCGTTTAATGCCGCGCGGGGAAATTTGCGCGACCCCCGAACGCGAATTTCTTGCGCACACGCCAGTGTCTGCCGCTATTTCGATGAGCTTGCACAGCTCTCTCGTACAGCGGAAGCGTATAATTATGGTTGCGCATATACATTATGGGCGACTCAATCACATTCATTTCATCTCCATGATTGCGTGATACCTCATAGCGATAATAACAACCGTGCATACGATCAAAGGCGTGATATACGAGTTATATCCGTTGTACACGAAGATACGTCGCGTCGGTGCGCTGTATATATATGTATATATTGCGGCGGGACACACACTTATTTCATGACTAACGTACTTGTCATACTGTAAGAACGTCCACCGTACCGTACGATGCGACTGTATTGCAGTTCCGGACTAGGTCACGCGGTATGACATGAATTATACATATCGGATTATACAGAACATTATAGGAGGTTTCATAAATTTATCATTTTATATAAGATTGATAAGTCACCGGAGGACACCGACCGAGAATAATAAAATTATATTTGATGAATTATTTATTCTTTTGCGTATAGTTCATGTTTTTTTAATTATGGGAAGAGCGAGAGGAGGCTGAAAGTATAGCGTAGTACATTATAGAGTGTATTGCAGCAGTGAAGATGAGAAAAGATCACGCTGATGCACGCAATTAAAGGTGGCAGAGTAAAAGATAATTATAAGAATCATTTACTCGATGCGATAAGATGAAGAAAATAGATTAAAATAGATTTTACGCGCGTAGTCCGAATAATCTGTAAAACTTTATGATATTTAACAATCTTCTCGTATTATGAGAAGTAATAATGTCACGACGCGTGTCGTGGGAATATATGCGATCTGCGCAGATAAAAATGCGGACCAATACTCTCCTATGTTCGCACATAATGCGCGCAATCTGGCACGCGCATTGACACTGCACTCAAATCAAGCGGAAGGTTTGAGCATGCAAATTCGCGCATTCTGTGATCGAAAAGGCGCGAAGAATTCGCGAGGTAAGATCCCGCTCCAACATGCGCAGGGTGGGGAAGGGGGATGTAAATCGTGCCTCGCACTCTCTCTCCGGATATCCTTCGATTTCCATCGAATATAAATCGCGTATCTAAGCGATAGTTTCGTACACTTGACGAACGGCCGTGTTATGTGCGTGTCGCGATATCGAAATAGCCGCAGAAACGAATCTCGGCTGAACGTGGCAAAAATGATTGACTCTCAAGATGCGACATTTGGGGTCCAATTTGAAAAAAATTGATATATGTCGTAGAAACAATAATTTGCTGAATAGCATTCTTTTTAATTTATTTTTTAGCATTATTTTCGATTTATTCGATTTTTATCCATTACGATGTTACAAAAGAATTTCAGAGTTTAATTCAATACAATTTTTCTTCAAGCAATTAGTGAAAAAAAATTAACGGGAAAACAACGTTATCTTAAAAAACCAGCAGATCGTGTTACGTTCTAGACAAATATCTCGAACGAAACTGAATTCATTGGTAACCTCTGCAATATCATTGTCGCGATATCCATATAGCCTGCAGTTTGTCACTTAAAAGAGTTTTTATTTTCTCCTCCGGGAATTCAACTTGCAGACTGTCAGCGGACGCGCGTTCGTTCTTTTCCTTGATCACTCCGGGCGACGTGATGAGGAACCCGGAGAGAAAGTTATTTGATCCTTTCGCGATTCTGCTCGTAAACAAAGAAGAAACGCACCCCGGCCTGTACGTAGCAGCGAGGGGTCTGGGGGAAGTGTGGGGGTCTTGTTCATTCCGCCTTTGTGGCGCACTTAGTTTGTAGATTCTGAGGAAGGGAGTGACCTGAATATTTTTTACATGATAGAAAAGGCAAGCTGAAAACAAACAGTAAAGTAAACCCATTAAAATAAATATATGGGGCATAAAGTTTTCTGCGCGTCGCAAATAAGCGAGTGGTAGGATAGAGCTTCGCGAGAGCATCGCGGGGAAGTTAAATTGCTAGATTTCGGAATTTTAGAATTGAAAAATGTTACAGAAAGAGTCTTCCGGTTGTCCGCACTTATATATCTTATATCCTTTTAAATCAAAATGTATGTTACCGTCTTTTGTCTCTTTTCCTCTCTCGCACATGCTTTCTTCTTATTTCTTAGTTATCTCGTATCTCGATTTCCGCCGATGTTATTGGTAATACGTTGATACTTCTTATTGTCTTTTTACGGTCAGCTGCTTTTTCGCGTTGACGTCGCGTTGCCTTGATATCGGGAGGCAACCGACGGCGACGGCGACGACGACGACGACGATGTCATATGTTCGGGTTAGCTTATTCCGCTTCTCACCCTCCGTCCGTTTCGCTCGAGCTCATTTAATAGATCTGCTCCGTGTAGATCCGCGTCATCAACTTCCCGTCGACCCTATACACACGGCTCTTCACGTCTTCTTCAAGACTTCTGTCTCGGTGATGAAGCGCCGCACGGGAAAGTTATCTGATCTCTTCTGAGACTCTTGTTGCAAACTAACGATTCGCAAAATGTATCGCGCCGGTGGAAGTAAGTCTCTCCCCCCTCCTGCCCCCTTCCCCCCACCCCTCTTACTCCCTCCCTCTCCCCCAAGAAAGCAGTTTTCTCGCAAAGAAAGCGACGCTTCTGCTCGTTTATCATTCGCCTTATCTTGTAATGGATACTTTTACTACTGCCGCAATTTACCGCGGGCAATTTAAAATATTTTATGAATCTATCCACACTTTCGGTATTATCCTGCTGCTATACTTCGATGATTCCGATTAAAGTAAACGGAATTGATAAATGTTTCTATATATCTAAACTTTGAACGTAACTCATCTGTTTTCGCGCTCTTCGCGCGCATTTTAAGTACCGCGCTCGTACAATTTCTCTCCCGCGATTAAATGCGAGGCGAGAAATGTGTGAAGATAACACGCGTGCATTTCTGCGCGAAATTGCTGTTCCTTATTTCTGAGTAACGTCTTCGTTAGCATTCGTGTTGCGATGCGACTACGATGGCCGAGGAAGCTTCAACAGCGTGGATCTTCTTTAATCAACGCATAATTATTGCATAATTTCGGACCCCGGGAAACTCTCTCTCTCTCTCTCTCTCTCTCTCTCTCTCGCGGATATACCTTCCCTGTTGTAGAAGGACTCATAAATCAACCACCTAGAGTTCTAAATGTAGAAATTTATGGGAACAACAGAGAGGAAAATGCGTTATGAAAATGCGCCACGATCGCTAACGTATTACACGCAAGAAACTGCTGACATCAATAAAGCATAATTTTCATCCAAATTCTACACGTTTTACAATTAATTTAGTACAATTTATATACCATCAGATGCAAGTGATATTTTATTAAAAATACGTATTGTATTATATAATTAAAAAAAAATTTTAATTTAATAGAGAAAGCTGATTTTTTAAATTACAATTTATTTTCATTCTTTGTGCATTTAATTTCAATTGTATTAAAAATCGTTCAGCAATCGCGCGATAAATGTCGTCAAGTTTGACCGGTATTCTTTACACACGCTTTCTAAGTTCCTAGGATATGATAGTTTTGGAAAAGTTTTAGAATCTTTTGAAGATTGTAGGTACGTAGATGGATCGATTGTGTGAAGTGCGTGTTCTACAGGCAGCAATGTATACTCTGAAAGATAACGGCAGTAGTTTCCTCCGCGTTGTTGCCTCAATTACTTTGTTATTGTGACGTGAATTTATTCTACCATTACTTATTTTTATTTAAGAGAAACTAGAAATTTTTAGTTTAAGTTTTCGATACATTTTACAATAAACATTTGTTTTTAAAATATATAGGAGAGTATTAATAATTTACGCGAGAATTCCGATTTCTATCAAGCTTATACATGATAGCTATTTCCGCACCAATCGTAATCCTTGCAATACACGGATCGGGATAAAAATTTCAACAACAACAAAAAAAAACAGGATATATATCTCGATCTCGGTTAGATTCTCGGCAATCTGGTCCTAAGGTCGAATTCAATTTTTCGGAATAGACGTGGCCAAGTAGGCCTGTCAAGATAACGGGCGATACTCGTTCGTTTTACGATACCGCGATTTGTCACACTGGGGAGCGCACGCATGGCCACTGTTTCGCCGCTCTCTAGCTAAGGTAATAACGTGATTTTTCACTGGCCGTGGCAGTCGGTCTGGCGTAACATTTTCGTGCGCGCGCGATCTATATACTATCTGAGCGATCGCGCCATTTGGTCGTTACGACGTTCCCCCGCGAACGATATCCGTACCGATTTCATAGCAAACAGCACGCGCTTTCGTTTGCATCATGCAAACGGGGAAGCGAAGAACGGGATTGGATTTTCGCGCGCTCGAAACGTTACATTCGTACATCGCCTTTAAGGCTCCAACGATAAATTCACGTATACAGAGAAAAGCCTACGGGTGACTAAAGGGTGCAATACTTCACGAGTTACGAAGTTGATAAAGAAATATGAAAGAAATGTAGCATTTGCGGTATAATAAGTGAATAATAAAAAATAGAAACGATATTTCTTCCTTTTTTTTTCTTTCTCTTCTCCGTCATTTTACCCGATGAAAGTAATAAGTACTTAATTGATTCTACGTCCTTATACAATTCTGTTTTTTTTTTATTTTTAGACATGAGAAACTTTGAACTCTCTCTTCCTCGTGCCGAAATGCTTGAGTGACTTGTTATTTAGAAACTCCGTAAATTCGTGAACTATGTCACTTGTCAGTATATCGCGATAAAACTCCCTCCGACTGCGAGGCTTTGTTAGTTGTTTCGTTATTTAAGCGTTGTATGTTGGAGATTACAAATGAAATTTCCCAACCCAGATAGTTTCCTCTCATTCGTGCTATCGCCTCGCATCCGTTATCGAGGATATAGTTACGTTGACGTGCGCGAGGAATAACGGGAAGAACTGACCTGACAGATTGGTCGTGGAATTGTCGTGTTTGTAATTATATTGATCTTTCAAAGGACAGAGTTACAAATAGAGTTACAAACAGAACAGTACAACTGCAAAATTCGAAAGCAGAGATTACTGACCGAAAGCCAGTGTTAACGAGAATTATTAATGAAAACCTTAATAACGAAAAAACCAGTGACCGAAAAGTTATCAGAAATGGTACAGACAATCTGTTATTTACGTCGTGATTCAGAGAGATTACGATTCATTCTATCGTACCGAACTATTTTTTTTTTCATTTTTTTTTTTTTTTTTAATTGAGCGTCTACAAGGAGAGGAGAATGAAAGAAAACACGCGTAAATTTCTCGCTCCGTGTCTCTGCGGCGTTGAGAGAGTCGAACCGATGGGAAATTGTACCGCGCTTTCAATCGTCTCTCGCCCCCGAACGGAATGAATGCCGAGCGGAACTTCGTTACGACAATCAAGCGGGTCCGGGATTCGTCGCGGGTCAATCGTGCGCTTTCGAATGCCGGCGGCTTTCCTTCCAGGAAAGTGGGACACGCGCAGTGTCGGTGATGCATCGACTTCCAAAGAAAGCTCTCTCTCTCTCTCTCTCTCTTCCGGCGTTTCGCCCGTCCGGCAGTGGCGCGCGCGCGAATAGCTAAGAAGTGTCGCACTTAATAAACTGCGAGTTAGACGCGGGCGCTACAACGCGCCCAGCACCGCGTCCGTAGAGTCGAGGAGGGTCGTCCACCAATAACTTCCGGACGGTCGTTTATTTGCGTTCGTTTCCCACCTTCGAGGAAGCAGCACCAACTTCGATCTCTCACCGTCCCGTTTCTCCTCCTCTTCCACCCTTTCCCGTCCCTTTCTCGCGTGTGCTTTGAGTTTCACAATGTAATCTATGGGGCGTGGCGAAATAGTTTTCGATTTCTCGGCCTTAGAGCGACGGAATTTACGACGCCCGACGTTTTAACTTCCAGTTTCTTCCCGCTGACGCCCAGCCCACATCGTCCACCTCTATCAACCCCCTTTTCCCGAGCACGGGGACCGCCGTCTCGCGTGGGAAGGAGAGAGAGGCTGGGTGTCCTAGCTTATCCTCTTTGGAGGGGGGGGGGGAAGAAAAAGGGAATAACTGGAGCATACACGTGTGTATACACATATATCCATGTGCGGCGGAGCTAAGTCGCCATAATTTCAAATTGTATCGAGGCGATTTAACCGAGCCACGAACCTCGTAATTTTAGGATAACGTATTGCGCATTCATACCCTCTTATTGCTTTTCTTATGTTGTCCGACGTCTTACGTGCATCGAAGTATGTGTCTCTTCCCATGGATGGTATTGCTTGGCTGCAATACGGTAAGCCAAGTCGCGTGCTCATATAATTTTATCTTTCGTAAAACATAATTGAGACCACTAAAAGAAAATGGTCGGTAGATATATCTGGAAGGAGGAAACGTAGTATATACTTCAATATTTCCAATCATTTATAATCAGAAAATTGCAAATATGATGTATATCTAAAAATATATATGTATTATAAAGATGTCACGTGAAAAAGAATTGAAAAAGGATAATTTTTGACTTTTTATTTAAATTAAATTTAAACTCGATATTAATGGTTTTTATTAACTGATTTTAATCAATTCCGTTTAAAATTAACTACGACAGAAGGTTTCCGTTATCTATTTATACTCTGGACATTAATTAGATCTAGACATTAATTTAATATTGTCATCATAAATAGTCGTGCAGCAATCGCCAATTTTATTAGCTCCTACCGTCAATATTTTAAAATCTCGTATAATAATACAGATATTAGAGGGAAAACGTAAAGATTTTGTGGTGCAGATAAATTTATTGTTTCGTATATTTGCTATAGGGAATTTAAAGGGAGCTATTTATCTGTGGACGTCAGAACAGACGGTATAATGTGGTAGAACAGATAAAATAGTTTCGTTCAGAAATTCTTGGAAGCGGAAACCCGCTGGTTTTGTCGAATCCGGGGCGCGAGCGGTGGGTCGCCGTAGTTTGAATCTGAGCTTTCGAAAAATACAGAGGAGAGATATCCTTTGTCCAGGCGGAATAGACGCGAAATTCTATTTCCTCATAAGTTATGTATCGCGCTGGATGATGTATAGCGCATCCATATATATAAAATGGGTTGTGCTTCATCCCGAAGTTGACACGGCAAAAATAGCTTTGAATTCTGAAAATTATGTGTGAAAGCGAACGTGTCATCTAGATTGTTTGACAAAATAAAAATAGAAGTGAAAAGTAAAAATTATCAAACGAAATATTTTCAGAAAGATTTTACAATAATTTTGCAATATAATCTTTCTGAAAATATATTATTCATTGCCACAGTATTTCTGCCTGAAATTAGTGTGTCAAATCGATAAAAATTTATTAAGTGCTGAAACATATATATCTTTTTATTTTTGAGACATTTATCGAAGATCGATTATTAATTCAAGCAAAACGAAATGAAAGAATGAGTGTTTTGATCTACTTTTTAATAGAATATTTATCTAGGAATCAAGATAAAAATTTAATGACTGAATACAAAA